ATATACTGTATAACACTACAACAGATAAGTTATTAGGTAACAAGTTATCTTAATTATCCACCTGTAACTTAACGGTCTCAGTCAGATATCTGTGCTAATGTCTCTGTTGAAATTTTCTCAATTTTGTTGATATCATAAGTTTTGTTATAAAAATTTTATTAATGTGTGTTATATTTTAGTTTAAAAGTTATTTGTAAAGACATTTGTTTTGTAATTTCTAGATCATACGACAGATGTGGCCATATGTTGGTCATTATGTACAAAGCCTGTTTAGAGAAAAAGTAGAGCCCGCTGTTAGAGCCAATTTACCGCCTAACCTTCAAAGTTTCAAGTTTGAAAAAATAGTTCTTGGAGACATGGTAAGCTTTTGGCATAATATTTCTTTTTCTATATTACCTTCACATTTTTTATACTTTTTAAACTACATAGTTAAACATTTTGTGAGTATCTCATGAAGTAAATTTAAGTTCTGATGAAGTAGCATACCATTTTCTAAACTGGTTTATTGTTTCATAATTTAAATATTGTTGGAATGTTCTCTCTAATGTTTTTCAATAGTTGTCTTTGTTCCTTGTGCAAACATGGATAACACTAACTCAGTGCATCAGAACCAACTTTATTATGGGGTCTATTCTAATGTAATAGATTATGTAGCGTTTCATCGTCATCTTTCATGTAAAGTTAACCTTTTTTTCTCCAGCCACCTAGGATTGGTGGAATCAAAGTGTACCATGAAAATGTTGCTCGAGATGAAATAATTATGGATGTTGAAATATTGTAAGTACGTTACATAAATAATGTGTTAATATTTATATGTATACTATGCTGTGAATTCATTTAAATTCATGGACATCAAATTTCATGGTTTTGGGATAAAAATGTTTCTTAGTTGGTTCTTGAATTCGTGGGTCTCCTCAAAATTATTTACTTTGTTATCTTCATTACTTGCAAGATTAAAATCACAAATAACATGATCAATTTTTTATACCCGTGCTTAGTTGTTTGAGATCAGTTCTTCCAATTTGCTTATTAAAAGATGAGAAACAAGATTTGGTCATGAATCATGTGACATTGTACCAGACTCTCTTTATCAACTGTTAACTAGTTCTGGACCATGGAAGAGAAATATTCCTGACAGATTTCCATATACACCCTCAGTGACAGATTACACTGTTACTCACAAAGTCTGGAGCACTTCTGGCACCATAGCCACTAAAACAATAAATAATGTAGATTAAAGTACTTAGCAAGGACAAGTGATGAATAAAACTTCTGCAGGAGTTTGCTCATTCATAGACTGAAATAAATCAGCTTACAAGTTACTTCTAATCTTACAAAAGACCACTTGTCCAAGAATGTGGACTTCCCTGAAAAGTGGGACATCATTTTTACAAACAATAAAACACCACTGTCCAAGAACGTCAGTTTCCCTGACAAGTGAAACATCTCTTTTGTGAACAACAATAAAGCATTACTGTCCAAGAACATTGACTTTTCTGATAAATGGGACATCTCTTTATAAACAGTAAACATAATAATGCTTAGGGACAACAAGGGACCTATTGGTCCATCTAGGCTGTCCCATCCTCTAAACTAAATTAGAATTATTAAGTAAATATGAAGAAACAAACAAACTCAGAGGCAGCTTTTATCATTCATATAGTTACCAACCTTTCTTTTAAACTCACTTAAATTTACTGCCTCCACAGCATCTGAAGGCAACACATTCCACCCTGTTAGAAAAATAAAACTGTCTTAGCTGAAGATGACTCTTACTCTGCCAAAATTTATACATATGTTTCCTTGTTCTACTATTCTCACTATTAAGTATTAAAAAAGATGATGCATTAACACTACCAATTCCCTTTACAATCTTAAACACCTCAATCAGATCCCCCCTAACTCTTCTTTTTTCAAGAGAAAATAGTTTGAGAGATTTCAACCTCTCCTTGTACGACAATCCCTCAATCCAAGGTATCATTCTAGTAACCATTCTTTGACCCCT